AACATGCATACACAAAACCCAATAACATGCGTACAAAAAAATTATCAACGAAGAAGCTAACCTGAAAAGCAGATTCCAAATGAAATGGAGGGAAACCGAGGAGTGCACGACCTAAAACGTAGGCCAAAAACAGTAAAAAATGTTGCCCAAGAACACGCAAGAAACTGCACCAAAACGCACTGAAAACGATTTTTAATCGGTTCAAATCAAAGATATTTCATCACAGAACAATTTAATCGGATTAAAAGTAAATTTAAGCGGTCCAAAACAAAGAAAACGCACCTGGAAATGCAATGCCGCAGAGTCAAATCGCGGGGAAGACGATGAACAGTGAGCGTAACTCCTCACGGGGTCGCGTTTTAGTATAAATGACACGTCCGGTACTAGAAGGCCCCGACGTTTATAATATTATAGACATCGGGGCCATAACTAATATGACGTGTTTTGGATTTAAATATTGATATTCGCGAGGGGTTTAGACGTCCGTTGGAGGGGCTCCGACGTGTATAATATTATAGACGTCGGGGCCCCTCCACAACAAACGTTTAAGAAGCTGAAACAATTAACTCTTCAACTACCCTGTTAGCCGCTTAAACGTCCGTTCTGGAGGGGCCCCAACGTGTATAATATTATACACGTCGGGGCCCCTCCACAACAGACGCTTAAGAGGCTGAAGCAATTAACTCTTCAACTATCCTGTCAGCCGCTTAAACGTCCGTTGTGGAGGGGCCCCGACGTCTATAATATTATAGACGTCGGGGCCCCTCCACAACGGACATCTACAGTCAAACTTATATATTAAAATGCCACCGATCAATTATTTACGTTGGTGTTTTCGTGGACGGACGTCTATTGGGTGACATGAAAGACAAATTTTGCACTAGTGTAACTAACAAAGGAAACGAAAAACTTGAACTAGAAGATGTGAAAATATCTCATTCTTTGTTTAAAACCCTTTTTAGTATTATTTGAGATTGTAATTACAGACAATATATAAAAAAAAACTACAAAATTTTATAAACATAATTTAATCCTCTCGTGTATCGTTCCTTATTTTTCACAAGAATAGTGACAAACAAAGAACACATACACATAAAGCAAAATAAAGATGGATCTTATTCTCGTAAATTAAAAAATAAAATGGTTACATGTCATTAAGAAGTGCTCATACAACTAACACAATAAAACAAATAAAATAAAAAGGTGTAGTATAAATTGTTAGTTATTAACTATTTTAACTTTTTATTTTAAATTTATTATGTAAATTAAATAAAAAACTACACATCTCTAAAAAGGAAATCTTATATGGCTTTCCACTCCAAGAGAACAACCTCAAGGCAATTACATAAAAATAGGCTATGCATAACAGCTGGCTCTCTCACATGAAAACAATTAACTTAACAAAAACTATTTATATTGGACTATAGGAGGGGCAAATAAAAAAGGAAAAGCAAAAGTTAATTTCTAATTTTTTTAAATTAGTATATAACTCACTAACATTATTCTATTTCCAAGGAAGTAGTAATTTCTACTGTGGAACCAGTACACAACCCCGCAGAAGATAAATTTTCGTTAAGCATCTCTCGTTGAACATAGAATGCTGGTCTTTTAGGTGAAGACACTATTTCACTCTTGTTTGTCAACATTGATATAACGTCAGACATTGTTGGTCGATCATTTGCATATTGTTCAACACATAGGAGACCAACATGAATACACCTCTGCGCTTCATCATATACAAATGTATCCTCTAATGATGGATCTACTGATTCAAAACACTTGTCATCTTTCCATAATTCCCATACCTACAAGTATTTTAGAAATTAGACACAAAATATCATGCCAAAAAACAAATTCATCATAGTTTATTTTACATACATGTCCTATTAGATTTATTGGGTGGTCATCATCATAAAAACTAGTGTTTTTTCGCCCACTAACTATTTCAAGCAACAATACTCCAAAGCTGTAGACATCAGACTTTGTAGAAAAAACTCCTTCCATAGCATATTCTGGAGACATATAACCACTGCAAGAAATATTACATGCAAGATAAATTTTAGTTATACATTAATATAAAATAAATATAATAAAGAGTCAAGCAAGCTCACTATGTCCCAACAACCCTGTTCGTATTTGACACGGATTCTTGTTCGGTAAACATTCTAGCCATTCCAAAATCTGAAATTTTTGGATTCATGTTCTCGTCGAGAAGTATGTTACTAGCTTTCAAGTCTCTATGAATGACTTTGAGTCTTGAGTATTTGTGAAGATACAATAATCCTTGAGCAATTCCTTGTATTATGTTGAAGCGTTTATTCCAATTTAGTAATTTGCTTCTTGTACAATCTTCTCCATAGTCATACAGTAATGATATATAGTGATATGCATTAGAATGTATACTACAAAAGTAAAAAGCAAAAGTAACTTTTCTTCATGATGTTATACATATGAAAACATCAGTATTTATGGTAAATCTATCATAAAAAAACAATATTGTATAGTTGAGAAAGATCAATCTTAAAACCCACATGTGTTTGGATAATCATTAACACATTGCTCACCGAAAAGATAGAAATCCAAGCTTTTGTTAGGCATATACTCGTAAATTAGAATCTTCTCTTCTTCATGAATGCAGCAACCTAGTAGTTGAACAAGATTCATGTGCTGAAGTTCACTTATAAGTGTTACTTCGTTTTTAAATTCCACAATTCCCTGTGTTGAACTTTTTGAAAGTCTTTTTATAGCAACCTCCTCTCCTGTTGGCAAAGTTCCCTAATAAAATGAGATAAAAAGAGGTCATGAATACTCAACAAAATTAACAATACATAAACTTAATAATTTCAATCACCTTATAAACGGGTCCAAAACCTCCCTGTCCTAACTTATTTTCCGATGAAAACCAATTTGCGGCCGCCAAAACCAATGCATAATCCAATACTTTCAATCCATGTCCCTTTTTCAAATCATTCTCAAAATCTTCGATTTGAGATAATTTCATCGCCATTTCTTTTCGTTTCTTCTCTGTTAAGATGAAAAAAAGGAATACTAAAATATAAAAAAATAACTTTTTAACATGGAGTTTGAATCCAATTACCTTGAAGCACATGTTTTCGTTTCTTTATGGCTAGGAATAGCATGGAGGTGCATATTATCAGTAAAGTGGCTGCCACTGTACTTATCCATATCCACCTTTTTGTACCTGCATCCAATAATTACAAATCTTCAAGTATCAATTATTAATTTTATGGCTTTTATAAAGCCGTTGTTAATCGTTGCAGTAAAATGACTGTAAGAGAAAATTTTTAGCAAACAAAGAAATTCTCAAAAACTATTCATAGTCTATGCAATTTAGAGTATCATTGGAATCTTTAAACTTTACTGTATATATTTTAGAGTAAAACTTCTTTTTTTCTATGAAAAATGAAATGAAGTTAGCATTAGACCAACCGTGATGATGAGGGGTAAATGTTGTCTTTGCTGTATATATGTTCCCTGGGTTCTCCAGTATGTAAAAGTCTTCACCCGAAACACTGCCGTCAACTATAATATCTTTGGATGAATTCCAACGATAGAATCTACATCCAGTTCCATCAAGATACAATTCTTTGAATCCATTGCAATCGCAATCGCTCCAGCAAGCCGCCTCACAATCACTGTGACTAATATTCTGATTTTGGTCATAGGTTACATTTTCGTAATTAGAGCGAAGACTCTTTTTGGTGAACACTTCACCAGTACTCCTGCATTTAGGCATATGCTGCCATCTTTGGCACCCTCCTGTGTTATTATATCCAAAACACAGATCAGCCCTTGCAACATATCCGTTCTTGTAAACTAACCGCCCACTATACGATAGGGTCCACCGACTTATAAGGTTTTCATTTGTAGATGTGAAAGAGAATGAGTCTTCTTCCCCATTAGATACTATGTTGTACTTCAACACATGTTGTGCATCTTCTGGAATGTTCTCAAATCTATTGTTCTTCATTTTCCCACTTTTCCAACAAATTTTTTCTCGTCTTCTTATGATCAGTTCTTGTTCCTTGGGTTCCCATTCAAGACTAAAGGCACCTGCAGTCGCATGCGAATCGGTCAACTTTGAAACAAGTGACCAATGATGCCTTGTTTTGTGATTAACCCCTAACTTCATGGTGGGGATCAAAGTGTCATTGGGATAATCAAAACTCTGCCACAGAAGAATGTTTGTGCCATTGGGGTGAAGTTGTTGAAGTACAAAGTTGCCTGAATCCAGCAAAGTGGCCACAGTGTTGTTGATAGGTTGAGGAGGAGAATAGAGAATAATTGGTTTCTTGACACGTCGAGATTCTATTTTCAGCACGCCAGAGAAGTTTAGGGATAGAACTACATCCCTCTGGCCGACAGGTTGTTCTCTGTTACCCTCCCAGACTACAATATCTTCGATTTCACTGAAGACTGCCAAATAAGTAAAATCTTCGATTTCACCCGGAATTCCAACCGGATAAAATTCAATAAAATATCTGCGATTCTTGGAATATAGTGACGGTGAAGAAAATTTAAATGTATCACCGGGCTTTAAACTTTCATCTGCTGGGTGAACATGAACAGCAGAACTCCAGCACAACCACAAAGCAAGCAGTAGTTTGTGTAGAATAAAACTCATGGAGTACTTTAAAATATATGGAAAGACAAATCTGCAA